TTGTTGCACACCGTCGGGGGAACCATTGTCACCATTAAAAATGAACACAATCATTAAGCGTCTGTATATGTTCCCAACGAAATAAAAATACTTGTACAACATACAAAGTGAAATTCTATTTTTTATTAATTTAAAAAATATAACCCTCTATTCTTGCGCAGTTGGGTAAAAAGGGTTCAGTTAAGTAATAAGTATGAAAAATGGTGTCCGGGCTATTTTTTCAGATAAAACTGGTGTAGAAGAGATTGTAGATGACAACCCTTACTAAAATTGGCTTCCAAAAAACACTAAAATTTATGATAACTCGGTAGGAGGTTGGGGAAGAGAATGGAACCACGCTGTAATACACTGAATATGTATGCAAGCATCTACAAGCTATTGTGATTTCTTACTGTTGTATACTCTTATTACACTGAAAAGAATATAGATCACTGGTAAGTTTCTAAATGAAATTCAGATCTTTATGATCATACGATAACCAGCTATAATGCGAAAGATATTTATCTACAACGATTTCAGGCAGAACGCGTAAGCCACTGCGTCATCCAGCTCATATGTAACTTTTCAACACGTTCAAATTTCAGATTTCATATATTATTTATATTAACCATAATTATGTTTTAGATTTCATATGTTTGAGGAGCTCGATGGCGCATGGAGGTTAAGCCACATTACAATTGCCGATCATTGGATGGGTGACCAAAAACTTATTTCCTCGAGCTCCTCCGTGCTTCGGAATGCACGTTAAGCTTTTGGTCCCGGCTGCATCTGCAGTCGTTAACACCCATCAATCCACATAGGGCATGCGTGGCGCAATTTTCCTATTACATCCATATGAAAGGCCTGTGCTCCAGCAGTGGGGACATTAATAAGCCTATTAAGAGGGAAGGCGGGCAATGTCTTTTCCATATAAACGTTCTCGACTGATTCCTTCCTGTTTTTTTTCACTAAAGAAATGATTTTCATAGATAAAATATGATTTTACTCATTCTTTGCTCCTATGTCTTCCTTTTTTCGATAACTTGTGTTTCAAATAAACTAGAAGCCCTCGAAGAAAGGCCAAAATAAACGATCTTTTATCACCACTTAAAACGTCTACCGTGGTGATTACATAAGCATTTACAAATAAAGCAAAACAGAGGCAAAGTATAACTATTTTTTATTCTTTGTGTAAAATTTCTTTTACATGTATCTAATTTCTGAGGAGGAAATCGTCGAGAGCCAAACCTCGAATTTTGCTGTTTTTATACGCAATTTTCAGCATTAACTACTGTTGTCTCCATCGCACGGTATTCGCTAATAAGTGACAGCAACTTTTTTTTCAAATACCTATTTCTCAAATGTCTCTCAGCTCGCGTCCGCTCTTAGGCCCGTAATATTAAAAGATTCTTAGTGATTGATCTAGTCTTGAGCCTAGTTAGAAAGAGATGTCGCTATATATAGCACATAGCGAGATGTCATTCTGTAATAATGTCCCGATGTGTGTAAGTGATGATAATGTATCTTAAGCTACTGCTTTTTCTAGGTATATCCTTCGTAGAGACGGCTTACGGTAGAAGATTGTTGTGTATTGATAAATACAGGTTCAGTAAGCACAGCGCCTCGAGATGGCCCAAAGAGAGATGGATCTGCTCCAGCAAGATGAAAGGCTGTCGGGCTACCATCATCACGCTAGAAAACAACATCATAAAGATATTAAATCCTCACAATCATTAGTATCATTGACCTCACTTCATGCCTTAATAGACTGTTGTGTTTTAAAATCCCTTCTTTTAAGATAGTGGCGTAAACTTCTATAACATGACGTTTCAACGCCGTATTCGTCTGAAGATTTCGACCTTATTGCCATGCGAATGTTCAAACCACATTCAATTAAATGGATCCCAAAAGCATCCGAGTGTACCTATAAATTATCTCATTTTGTTAATGAACAAAATAGAAACAAACCATTTTCCACTTTTGGAATGATAGATTTAAGAAGTGATAAAAATATCTACATGTTTTTTTACAGTAATTGTGTCTAATTTATGGTATTTTATAAGAAATTAACATAGTACCAGGGCCAAATATAAATGTTTTGTTCAATATAAAATGAAAGTCAGATAACATCACTATCTAGAATAAAGTGTAGTGTCATGTTGCAAGTAATTAAGTTGTCTACAATAGTTGATTTGTAAGTTATAAAGATACTTATAAGTTTTAAGCTATCACGCAACATTATCCGTCCGTTGACACGGTTTTTTTTGAGAAATATGAGTAATTAGCGGTCTCTAGGATGTTGTAAATGTAAGGGCTGTTTTTTCAATCTCTGGATGAAACTGATTCGCCTGATATCCTTTTTTAAGGACAGAATGAAATGTTAAGTTCATTTTCAATTTGATGTTGCGGACGATAATTATGTTTGATTAGAAAATACATAATTGTATCGGCAGATATTTCTATCTGAGCGTTGCAAAACCTGCGCTAAACAACAAGAGAATGACAATTCCTCAAAATCTGTATATGTCTGTATATCTTTTTTTTGATTTATATCAAAAATTTAATCAAGATCTAAATGTTTTTTAAATAGTAAGTATACTTAATTTATATTTCATCATTTGAATATTATAAATATACTGTTGAATTGTTGAGCGCGAGTTTCATTCATTTAAACAACCCTAGTAAAATTCGTATTCCCATAAATTTAGTAAAAATGTAAAGTGTTAATGAAATTCAGTCTTTAATGCTTTTGTTTTAGATGTGTGTTTCGTGAGGACGGGTCGGGGCACGACCGCGTTGCGCGTTGGCCGCTACCGGTTCAACCGCCACAGTTCGAGTCGGGGCATCAAAGCAAGATGGAACTGCGTCAAAGCCAAATTTGGATGCAAAGCCACTGTAATAACGATTCATGACGAAATCATCAAGATAATGCACGATCACAGTTATCACTGACCGCCATCGTCTCCTATAATAATAATTTATTGTATTTTTTTTTATATCTGAAAAAAGCGTTACGGCTTCCTGAACCTCCGGGAGCCGCGCGTACAGGGTATCTGAATACTCCTCCCCACCCATTTCATTTCAGCACTAGATGCTCCATGAAATGAGCAGGGCCCAACCCACAGAACACAGAAAGAGGTTAGAACGGTGATCATAAACCGTTACTACGTGAACCGATGTCGCCGGCTCGCCCCCACTACACTTACACCTAATAGATAAATAATTATTAACTTTTCTAAAAAATCATTAAATCGAAATGAATTTTTGTTTAATTAATGGTCACGTGACTGAACACGTCTGGGATTAGCAAAGACTAAAATGACGTCACAACCTAGTAAACTTCCGGTCAAACTGAGATCACATTGCATTGTATCGTTTTATACCAGACGCCATAATAAAATAAAATTGTTTACACAAAACTTTCTTTCACTACACATATTTGTTTGCATCATCAACGTTTTTGCTTTTCGAACCCGATTGAAAACACGTTCGCTAAACTCCCCGCGCGGATCGAGGGGCAGGATATTGTTTCATCGGCCAGTTTTTTGACAACTCTCTAGAGGGGGTCCGTTCCAAATCTACGTTTCGAGTAAACTTCACTCTGACGTTTCTATTTTGGCATAAAATGTACAAAACTTTTGTCAAATTTGACATTTGCTGCACCTGGATAGTAGTTTTCGAACGTAGTCCTGTGTATTTTGTGTACGACAGCCACGTGAGCAGTAGTCAGCGTGTGCAGAGAAACATGTTTCAGAAACAAAGTTTTGTGTATGCGTTTTTGTTGAATATTTTCAAAAAGCTTTTGCTGGAGACCTGGCTTTGGTTCAACGTTTCGCGGTGTATATGAGGCGAGGTCGAGGGGCTCCATCGACCTTCCCTGATCCCCCTACACCTGAACTCCCTCCCTCCCCGTCAAAGAGTACCTCACCCCCTACGGAGCCTGACTCGAGCCCTCATAGAGCTACAGAGGCCTGTTTGGGCTCAAACGAACTGGAACAAAAAGCCCCACAAAACTGCCCCTTATCACGTAAAATTATCTTACGAAAACCGACTTTACAGAAAACAATTTTTTTTTCAATTTTATAGCCCACACGTGTAATGCTTTACCTGCAACTGATAGCTGCAAGATTTGAGAAGACTAAAACTTTGTGAGGGGGAGTAACCCACGTCTGTAGTGTACTATTCCTCATTCGTTATTTATGCTGTGAAGGCCAATAAAATGTTTTTCTTTCCTTTTTCCTTCTTTCATTTTAACCGTGGAATGCCGCAGGTGTGTGTCATGCATAGGGAACGTGTTGAGAAGTATTTGTAATCATTTATTGAAAAACATTTACATTTACATTTTGCTTGCCGAAGTTTATAAAATATGTCATATTGTTTTTTAGATAAGTTAATTAGTACAAAAAGATGACAAAATTTCAACTTTTAACGGTCGGAACTCGAAAGAAGATTCTACCGTCTTCGTCCCTAGTCGAGGGTTCATCCCAAGATGGCGTCGGACACTATCCTAAAAGAATCAAGAAGCAGCTTTGTTGTGTAGTTTGTCACTTAAGAGCACGTTGGGTGTGCAAGAAATGTCTTAAGACACTTTGCGTCGAAAGGTCCTGTTTTGAAAAATTTCACACTGGCCACTAATAAATTACATCCATCCAAAACATCTGTTTTTATTATTTACTACTTCTCAAACATTACGGTATCTTTGCACCAAAGTTCTGAAATTCAATTAAAAAGCTTACCGTGTTCAAGTGTCATTCTATCACTTCTTGACTTTAAACAATTAAGAAATTTAGAATGATTCGTACAAAAAAGGATAAAGCTTAATATGATTTTAAGAAAGTTGGTGCAATTGGCCCTAAAAAAAATTAGTAATTTGAAAAAGTTATTTTGTTACAAGATATTAGCAGCGTTTAAAGACTTGAACATGATATTCTATAATAATATTTTCTGATTATAGCGGTATCTTTCTCGACCACTCGGTATGGTAACCCCGTGATGACAGTCGGAGGACACCGTTACAACAAATGGAGTTACAGCAAAGGGCCGCGGGTCAGGTGGACCTGCGTGAAGAATCAGGTCGGCTGCCGGGCTTCCATCATCACGCTGGACGACGTCATAGTGAAATTCAAAAACCAACACACACATCAATAATGAAATTATGATAGTGTGCGACATATAGCGTAGCATATTTCACAAACAAGGAAGTTAATAATTAATTTTAAAACTTTATCACAATATTAAAAATGTATATAAATAGGGATGATGACGGGAGATTCGTCTATCAGGTAGATTATCAAAATGTGTTGGACACGTACTTTTTGTTTTTTTCACAAGATCAAAACATTGCAGAGATTTTATTGATTTGAAATGTCGCGTGACGTCATGTTCTTGTACAATTTTACAAAATAGTGACGTCATTAGCATCTGCTCCCAACCTCGGCGCGCTTTATCTTTGTAATTTTTTGGTCGATTCACAAAAGAAAAACTTGGTGTCCATTATTTTTTGGTAATTTAACTGAAGAACTAAATATTATTTCGTTTACTTACTCCGTCATCATCCCTAAGGTTTTTGTAACGGCATGTATGTTTTACCGATTATCTTCGCATCTGGGCAGCATTCAAGTGGAGGTATTACCAAGACGGTAACATTGCAATTAATCTGGTGACATTTCTTTTTTTTTTAATCCGGGTTAGGATGCATATTTATCACCTGGCGAGTGCGCGGCCATTCGGAGACGAATGGCCGCGTACACACCCGCCCTCTCGGCACCGCGGTCCTCATAGTGCGTGTCGGGTGACGGTGCAGGTGTATTGTCTGGTTTTTAGTGGCCCTGTTCAGGGCGTAGGTAGGGCCCTGTTCACATCAGCGAGCTTCAGGGCTGGCTGAAGGGGACAGGGAGGAGTCCCACATACCTTCTTCTCGCTCCTCCATTGGTTGAAGGATGCGTAAGGCATTTTCCAGACACAAAAAAAGGATGCATATAAACGCCCCTAGCACGAACCAATATCGAATTCGTATCGTTTGCGAGTACGAAATTTCATTGTCAAACGTGTATTGATTTTTAGTTCTCGTTGCGTACGTTGTGGCGCTGCTGTTCAAGTTTCCATACACAATTTGACAATGACATTTCGAACTCGCTAACTATTCGAATTGGATATTGGTTCGTGCTTAGGGTACAGTTCGTAGCTGATGGTTGCAGTTTCTGCTGCCGTCCTGCAGGCCGCTGTCTGGTGAACATGAACCCCATGTACAATCGGGACAGAGCTGTCTTGATTCGCGCTCTGCTCATTTCTAAATCTAGCACATCACCAGATGTTAATCGCCAATGTCACCTTATTAGCAGGCCTTTTTTAAAAATGATTATGACATTTGCATTTAAGACACATGAATCCGATTCACATTTTACATTGTTCAATTGTAGAGTTCTCTTTCTCTACCACTCGGTTCGGTAATCCCGTGATCACGGTCGGAAAGTACCGCTACAACAAGTGGAGTGGTAGTAAAGGTCATCGCGTCAGGTGGACCTGTGTGAAGTACCAGACAGGCTGCCGGGCTACCATCATCACGGTGGACAACGTCATCGTGAAATTGAATAACCAGCATATACATCAATGAGAAGTTGGATAGAATTGGAGACACAATGATTGGGTTAACAGTTAGCAGACTAAACGGTCTGCAAATCTTGTACTTATCTGTAATAGCTTCATGCTTTAATATCTTTTAAGAAATTATGAAACAGCTTTTTGTATCGTTTTCATTGATTAGTAACTGAGCTTTGCTTTAAAGTCATTGTTAGACCTGGTTCGGGTTTGCTATGGCAATCGCTATCGCTTACGAATTTATTTAGTTATTTCTGACCGCCGAGAGTTTTCAAATGCCCCGCGTCCCTTTTTTTACATTGGTAATAACAATATTAAGGAAAATGGCCGTGAGATATTAGAAAACCTTTGGCGCGGTCAGAAACAACAAAATGAAATCGTAAGCGATAGTGATAACCATAGCAATCCCGGTTGTAGCGCCCTGTGCAAGACTTTGACGACCTTCGTGGCCGAGTGGTTTGTACGCCAGGTTTCATGGTTTCGCCAACTCGAGAGGCCCCGTGTTCGAATCCCGCTGGGGGCAGATGTTTGTATGATGAATACGAGCATTTGTACTCCAGTCATGGATGTTTAATATATATTTCTATATGAATATACTTTTATATGTACAGTATATGTATTCTATCCGTTACCCTAGCATCCCATAGCACAAGCCTGACGATGACAGTGCTTACTTTCGGGTTAGGCTAATTGGTGTGAGTGTTCGAAATATTTATTAATTTATGACTGCGCTGTGCCGCGTAATTTTGCGTCAATTCTTCACTTAATCGGATGTGTTAACTCACATCTTCTAAGCCATCTTGTAGCCAGTGGCCCGTGTGCGGCGACACTTACTGTGTCACCGCCGTTCCTGTACTGTTATTGGCCAAGTTATCAGCTAAGAAGACACTACGTAGTCGAACACTATGAGTAATTCTTTACTCATGTAGTTGAATTGTACCCTTAGCACGAACCAATATCGAATTCGAATGGTTCAATTCGATCTCGTTACGCGTCAAATGGCAAGAAGTTTTGTGTGGTGGATTTTTAATTCTCGTTGCGTCCGTTGTGGCGCTGTTTAAATTTCAATATAAAATTTCTTGACGTAGGACACGTATTCAGGGGACCGCACTCACGACGATCGCGCACGGACCTACCCTCCCACGAAAGTGCTCCAACGTAAAATTGAATTTTACGCACCGCGAGCACTGCCTGGCGCCATCGCGTCAGCGGGGACTACCGCGCCTCCCAGCCGCAGGCCTGAGCACGCCGCAAGGCGCAGCTCCGCCAAGGTCGCGCCGACGTGAGCCCCACGATCTCCCAACATGGACGAAGATCAACCACAGCCGTACAACCCATTCTCAGACGAGAAAACCGCCACCAGCGTCGCCGGCAGTATTGCTGAAGAAATCGTCACACAATCAGACCGCGCCCAATATGAATTGGACGCGGCGATGGCGTGCCGTTTATTAGATTCCCGCCTCCTATCCGTCAGATTCCAAAGATGGATTTGGGCCTACGCACGACTTATCGAGTGTGAGGAGAGCGCCGCGTCAGAGTACAGCCCCAGAGACAGGGGCTTCCTGCAAACGCACAAGTACCTGAACCAGCTGCCACTTACGCTCCCGCCGCCGAAAGACATTTATTTGACACCTATCAACCCGGAGAAGAGACGCCGCCCAAGCGCGAGATTCCTACGCGACCAAACTCGCCGGACTCGCAGCTGCGATGCCCGCTCCACCCCGCAACACTCATCCCTGCTGTTGGAGGAAGCGAAGACCACCACCGCACCACAACAGCCAGTACAGAAACCCGCCCCCGCAGCCCAAGTTGAACCGACTGTTTTACCGACGCAGTCGGTAACTTATGCCCAGACGGCAAAAAGTTTTTCAACTACCCACCACGCCGTAGAAAATTCCCCCACCACCGCCGCACCTCCCACCACCGCACAGAAAGCGAAACTACCCTCCAGCGGCGCTCCCACAACTCAGCGAGAACGCAGATGCCCGCCCATTGTGGTAGAAAAGCTGCCGGACTGGCCCAAGCATATGCGCGCCTTGCAAGACGCACTCGGCCGCCCTCCGAGCGTACGCCCGTTTGGCACGGGCGTACGATTCCTGCCTACGGACGACCATGAGAGCCAAACCGTGACCGCCTACTTGTCCAGCCTCAAGGGAGTGAGCGGGCTGAGTTGGTACTCGCACGCTCGCCCCGAAGACCGCAGCATCAAGATAGCCGTCAGAGGGCTACCCCTAGATACCACGCCGCACGATATCACCGTAGCCTTTGGAGACAAAGGCTATGAGGTCGAATACTGTAAGCAGATCCCGGCGCGAACAGGCAGAGCCGGAAGTCTGTTTTTTGCTGCACTCAAGCCAACCCCCAACACCATCGAGACGATATACACAGTGAGGGAGCTCCTGTGTATACCCAACATCCACATCGAGGCCTGGAGAGGGAAGAAAACCCCCGCGCAGTGTCACCGCTGCCAGGGATTCCGCCACTCCAGCCTGGGTTGTCACCGTCCGCCCGCCTGCGTGCGATGCGGTGACCCGCACGCCGCCGCCGACTGTCCACGCCCGCTTTCAACACCGGCAACGTGCGTGAATTGCGGGGGCGCTCACCCCGCAAATCACAGCGCGTGCCCCGCACTACAGCGTGAGGCGCGCAACCGACGCGCCACGACCGTGGCCCGAACAGGCCGCCCACCCACTGCACCAACACCAGCACCACGACAGCAGCCTGCCGAGGTGAGCGAGCACGCGCCGGCCACACTGATGGCCCCCGCGAATGGCCCTCCCTCGCGCACCACCCCGCAACGCCGTCGCAGAAGAAAACGCCGACCGAGTAAATCGACGGACTCGACTGACTCGACCGACTCGACCCCCGCCACCCCCACCAAAGAAGAGCCTATCAAAAACACGCCGCCTCAAGAAGATGCAATACAAAAACTGCTCCAGTTCGCCGACCTGTTCACGGACTTCATCAAGAAATTCGGACAGGCCGGAACAACAACGACCACCCCCACTCAAGATCCTACCCCCTCGCGCTAAGTCCGTCGCCCGCTCGCTGGTCGCTCACTGGGCCTCCCTCATGGGTCTCACCCGGTGGGCTTGACCGCGCCGAGGGCGACGCGTGAAGACGCGGAGGGGGTAGACACCCACAGACCGCCCCGTACGTATACGGGGCGCGAACCCGCAGCTTCTGAGGTGGGCACACAGCCCAGAGCAGACTCCCCGCACGTCGCGGCGCCTTCGGCGCCGGCGACGCGCGAGAAGAAGAAAAGGACGTGACGTATTCAGGATCGAATTCAACTATGCGAGTTCCATATTGGTTCGTGTTATAGGTACTGTATGCTGTTAGGCAGGCTACATCTAGCGTTCTGTTTTCACCTTGGATGAATTTTGACACAATGAGCGTTATATGTACATATAAGCGTAATTTTTTCTTGCTCTCCCAACTCTTTATTAATCGTAATAAACAATGTAACTTCTGTTATAAGCGAGATTGCTACCATGCCCTTTGTTTTTTGCGAGTACCCGATATTTCAGGCACTGTTGCAAGTGCCATGATCACGGAGTAACCGATAATAACAAAAAATACTTTAACGTTAGTAACTATGGAAGTTCAAAACAATATGTAATAAACAAATTTATGTAGTATGGTTATAATATATTAGTATAAATACATTTACTTACATACGATTCTATAGGTATTGCTTTTTGCGTGAAATACTATTAATTCAATATTAAAACGATTTTTGTTTCATGTTAATAATAAAATATGAGTTTTCCTTTCAATGAGTGATTAATTCTGCCTAGCATATGCCGCCTTTACTAATAATGTGTGTTAACAAATTATGGAGATGTATATACTAATCCCGGTATCTTTAATTATAATTATTAGATGCATTTTCATATTTTTATATAATTGAGTGTATCTATTAATAAAAATTGTGCAGATAAATGTTAAAATAAAAAAAAATGTAAATATAGGTACTTGTCGCTTATCTTTATTTTTTTGGGTGTATTATGTTATATTATATGTATATTAAAATTTTAAAATAATTAAATTAATCTAGTGATAAAAATTATGGCGAAAGATGTGAACAAATAAAAAGAAATGTAGACAAATTACACAAGCTTACAATGTAGACGCTTCTGTCTTATTTTAAGAAATGAAATGAAAGTTTATTTGCATTAAACATAGTTTGTTACAGCTGGTTAATAATATAAAAAGTTCCTTATGTTTCGCCCTTGGAATAGCATACAAAATACTAATAAATTATCTAAAACTCAAATTTAAATTGAGTAATAATTGTATATCAATAATTATATTATACATGTCAAATTTTCTAAGACAATAGCCCTTTCTTCATTATGTCAACAAAATTACAATCATTAATTCATAATAAAAAATCATTTGTACTATAAAAAACATTTATTTATTAACCAGTCCCGTAACTTTTTTGCCATTAAGCTCAATGGATTTACGTGAATCTGAATATTTTTTTGATATTTCCGTTTAATTGATTTTTTTTTCATTTATTGTTTTAGCTACATTGTTACATATTAACTTAAAATATATAATTAAATCGTTTCTAATTTTCCGTCAAAACAATTTGATAAGATGCGTAAAATTAAATCTTAACTTTTCCATTATTTCAATGTTGACAGAGAAAGTGCCAGAAGAAGAAGATGCAGTGGAAGCTGTATTTACAACATCGCGATATGGGAAACCTGTGATACAGATAGGGAAGCATCGTTTCAACAAGTGGAGCGGCAGCAAGGGGCCGCGCGCGAGGTGGCAATGTGTCAAGACCTGCTACGGATGTCGCGCGACCATCATTACTGTGGACGATAACATCGTCAAGTTAAATTATAATCATAATCATCATTAGATGCCTTTCTTATCCATCTGTGCGACGCCAGCATCGCGATGTTTATCAACTTATTTATCCTTTTTTATGTTAGGAAAATGCGTGATGCTTACCGCGCTTCCTGGTTAGTAGTTAGAGACGAGGAATGCCTCCCACACTGCCTTCCCACCAACCCACCCACCCACTCAATCAGCTCTGGGACTAATCGGCTGCCCGCGTAGGAAAGAGCTCTACCTACTAAACTAAAAACGATCATAGTGGCGACCCCGCATTTTGAATTGAATTGAATGATTCAAACCGAATCCAATTAATTTCAAAAAATTATAACATTGTTTAAGATATATGGTTTAGGTATTATCATACTGATATTTTTGTTAATTGTCTTTTGATCTAAATGGATTTAAATGATTAAGTTTATTGTAATAAAATAAAAATTGTAATCTATCTTTCCTTTAATAAAGTTGAAGTGTAAGTTATACAGAGTACTACAATCTATGACTTTTAAATTTGACTTTGGATATATCGTTATCGTCACTGTCGTCCATTCTGGAGCTCTATTTTTGAATCACTCGCCTTGCATCGAACGCTAGATTTATAGTAATATTGATTGGACATAATAAATTCCGTATTTTTGAATCGCTTGACGTCAACGAGCGGACACGACCACTCGTTGCGCGTTGACGAATGATGGAGGCGAATGGTAGAATAAATAAATAAATATTTCCAACACTAACACCAATTAGCCTAGCCCCAAAGTAAGCACTGTAAGGCTTGTGTTATGGGATACTAGGGTAACGGATAGAATACATATACAGTACATATATCAGAGTATTTATATAGAAATACATATTAAACATTCACGACTAATACAATAAAATTGACAAATTTATGTCAGATATTTTCAAGTTTTTTTCTCAATATTTTTACAATACAGATAAGATGACGATTTGTTGCAAGGTTTTGATCTTTTCTTACAAAAAAGGCAAAAGATTAAATAAGCCGTTATTTACAATAAAATTATACGTTTATTTTTCACAGCGGTAATGACTGCTTTATATCTTTTTCCATGAAATTAATAAAAATCTATATTTTAAACTGGTAATACTGTAGATGAACGATTCAAAACTACGGAAAAACAGTATCATGCGACTTGGAAGTCGAAAGTGACGAAGCGAATCAAACATAGAACTCCTGCTCTTAGGTATTACATAGTTTAATGCCATAGAGCAGGACTTGACACCACGAAAATCACGATACATCAAATTATCTATTTCAAAAGAACTATCCCTGTTTTGATTTCATTAAATGTACGAATCTCCTAGGTATTCATAATGTAAAATTACATTTGTTTCTTAGGTTTACACGGACACCACGCATTAAATAAAATAAGTTTTAACGGTATAGATGCACTGATTTATTTATTCATTACGTTAATAATTGAAACGACTCATCCTGAAAAGGATGTAAAACGTCAATAAACAAATAAATCAGTGCATCTATACAGTTGAAACTTGTTTTGTGTAAAATTATATTTTTTACAGAAGCAATTTTCGTGTCATCGAACCGCGGGAAGCCCCTGATTCAGATAGGGCAGTATAGATTTTCTAAGTGGAGTGGAAGCAGAGGGCCCAAGACACGGTGGATTTGTATCAAGGATCATCATGGATGTCGGGCTAAACTTATCACCGTAGACGGAATTATTGTCAAACATTTAAACAAACATAATCATTGAAAGACATTTGAACAATGGTCACTTTAGCTTGACGTGCGGCATTTCAGAGACTATAATACCTACTCTACATTACAATTTATATATCTAGTGTTATTAAATAAAGAAATTACAAATAAATCGAATTAAAGACATGTTCACATTATTCATGGCTCCAACATTGGTCTGCCCCAGCGCAGCGTGCCGCCAATGTCCTCCGTTATAGCTCGCGCGCAGACATAGCATAGTTGCTCACCCTTTTCTCATTATCGCGTGAAATCCATAAATATCCATAATAATAAGAAAACCTGTACTAAAATATATCCACTTTTATAAAATAACATATAAACGACACATTTTTTTACAATTTTAATCAAAACAATATAAGGAACCTTTCAGAATGAATATAGTTTTTTTTTCGCTATGATAAACCAATCTTTATAGATGGTCATGTATCCCATTTATAATGGAATAATTAATTTAAAGAATAAAATATTTTTTATAAGGTATCAAGTCTTTAGATATTTTGTACTTATACAATAGTACTTATACATTATTAATGCTTATTTCGTTTTTTTTTTCCTTGAAAGTATTAATTGATTCCTGTCAAAATTTTCTTAAGAATAGCATTTGTTAATGTACAATAGGTACATATTTTTTATTTCGTTTCAATAATAGTATTTTTACAATAATATTCATAAGTAGAAAAATTTAATTCTATAAGTAATGTTTATTTTATTTATCGTCATCGTCGGTCATCTTACTTTTACAAAGTTTTGACGACCTCCGTGGCCGAGTAGTTTGTACGCCGGTTTTCAAAGTGTCGCCGACTCAAGGAGGGTTCGAATCCCGGTGGGGACAGATAGATGTTTGTGAGCTGAATACGAGCATTTTCACTCCTGTCTTGGATGTAATATGTATTTCTATATAAATATACTTAAATATGTACAGTATATTATTATGTATTCTATCCGTTGTCCTAGTATCCCATAACACAAGCCTAATAGTGCTTACTTTGGGGCTAGGCTAATGAGGGCTACCGTTTTTTGTCTCACCAGATGGCGCCACTGTTGAGTGAGGTCCTGAATTGTAACTTTTAATGTTTATTAATTCGCGCGTGAAATCAAAGTATACATTTAAATCATATTTTAATACAAAAGAACCGTATCCTAAACATAATGGGCCATACCACAGTGTTGCGCAGCTCCGTTTTGTACGGCAAAAAGGAGGACATAATTATTTTTCTTAGCTCCGCTTTTAAATAACTGACATTCTATGCCACGTAACTCATATTTGCTATAATTAAGCCGAGTTATTACTAAATATTCACAACATTATTTTAATTAGAAATAAACCCGCGTAGTCAACACACAACCAATTATGACATTTCGGAGACCTTTTTACATTTGACATTTCGGAGACCTCACGCTACACAAGCGCCTCTAGCGGCGGATTCATACGCGATAGCCCGCCCTCATTGATGTGACTGTTAGAAATATTTATTTATTATTTATTCATATTTATTTTTGTCATAGAGCAGGACTCGGCCGGCACAACGAACATACATCCATTTATCGATTTCGGAAGTACCTACAACCCATATTTTAATTCCGTGAAACGTACGAATCTTCGCACATTTCACAGAATCCTTTGCGGCATGCTTAGTACCGCCAAGTATTCCTAATGTAAAATTATATTTTTTCAGAACCAATTTTCGTGTTATCAAGCCGCGGGAGGCCCCTAATTCAGATAGGACACTATAGATTCTCTAAGTCGAGTGGAAGCAGAGGGCCCAAGGCACGGTGGATTTGTATCAAGGACCATAGCGGATGTCGGGCTAAATTGATCACTGTAGACGGAGTTATCGTCAAACGCTTAGACGAACACAATCATTGAAATACCCTCTAACAATAGTAATTTTAGCCTTAAGTGCTAAGTCTAAAAATAATAACTTATTACATCTATATATATAAAACTCAAAGGTGACTGACTGACATAGTGATCTATAAACGCACAGCCCAAACCACTGGACGCATCGGGCTGAAATTTGGCATGCAGGTAGATGTTATGACGTAGGCATCCGCTTAGAAAGGATTTTGATCAATTGATCAAAATCCTTTCTTAGCTACCCCGAAGCGAAGCAAGGGCGGGCCACTAGTTCTCTATAATACATTCTCAATATTACAATAGATATATTTAGTGTTAGTAACAATGTAATATTAATAATTGTAAATTGAAAAAACAAACATGTAATTCATGGGTGTAATTAATGTAAATGTAATTTAATAAAATAATTTCGTAATAATTTATTTATCTATATTTTTTTTACGATTGTATTTCTTTAATGCACTATACTTTATTTTTTATTTGGTTTCAGTAATGGTGAATCAATATTGTATTTTTTTATACTTTAAATCATTATTATAAAAATGCAGTTTGTTGGTTTTATTTATCACTTTTCAGTTTTCTCGACGGTTAATTTGTTTTTGCTAAAAAGTGTTATTTTATAAATTTTTGTGGCTTTAATTTTTGTAATATGCAACTCAGCATCAAAATCTCTGATTGAACAATCACCTCTATTTCCCAACTCTTAGGGTAGGACTTTTGTTTCAAAATTTATGTAGGACTAACTTTGAGGAATACCCAATAAAAACCGACCAAGTGAGTGTCCTGCCACGCGCAGTGTAGGGTTGCGTTGATGTTTTATTGCGGTTTTTTTAAATTTGGTTTTTCAATGCAAGGTTTTTCGCGATTAGCAATTACTTCATCTAAGCCACTTTTAATGTGTTCTTCTAAAGATTTTTTATTAGGTAAAAAATTTTCGAATAAGTTGAACGACTATACCTTAAATAATAATCTATCTTAAATGTCATAATTTTCTTTGTAAGTTCATAAAAAGCACTACTATCATGATTTTGCGTTATTTGTTATTGTGTGATCATTATTTGGGGGGGGGGCATGGGATAGATGATAACTGTTTTGATTTTGTGTAATGTACGATTATTCGTACATTTTAAAAGTTGGTGCTCCTGGTAGCTTGTCGAATGTGCGGGGTGGAACCTTTGTACCTAAATTGGATCAAAATTTCATGGTGGATAGAGGCTTTTAGAGTGAGATATCACATACACAGAAGAGTGTCATTAGCGTTAAGGGCTGAATATTTATTTAAGAGTTACTTTAACTGTAAAGATTTCTTACTTACAGTTGGTCGTCCGGAGTTCATTCCAACGTTTACTGTATCTCGGTACGGTAAGCCCGTGATTGAGATCGGTCCTTTCCGATTCAACAAGAAGGAGTGTGGCGACAGGAGACGCGCCCACTGGCGTTGTGTCAAGGGACCCACCACAAAGTGCAGAGCAAAAGTCATCACCATGGACAACGAAATAGTGTTTCAATACAACACACATAATCATGCTGTGGGAGATTTCCCACATTAAATGATGTATGATAGAATATGATAAAAAATGCTAGAAACTGATAATTGATAATGTTATTACGGAATGATAAAGAAACTACCGATTTATAGAAATGCTTGTAATGCACTGATCGATACAGGTTGCGCATACATCATCATGAAAGTAGAACGCTAAATTAACAAAATAAAATATAAAGTAAATTACGAAATATGTACGTGTACACATACAAATTGAACTGAGAACGGTAAAAACCCAACATGATGCGCCAGCTGTTGACGTCTTCTTGTGCAGTAAGAACCTGTATGAATAATAATGAATATTTTGAAAGTGTTGTAGACGATGGAATATAAAATTGGACGTTTTTAAACATACCAATTTTTTGTATAACCTTTGTATTTTATACCAATCAACTTTTTCGGCTGTAAATTGTTATAAGTATTATTATTAATCATGCAAATATGTTTTTGCGTAAATTAATCATCATCATCATCATCAGCCTATTATGTCCCCACTGCTGGGGCACAGGCCTTCCCTATGGATGAAATAGGGAGGTTGGGCCATGACCCTCCACGCGGGCCCAGTGCGGATTGGTGGGTGCTAACGACTGCAGATGCAGCCGGGACCAACGGCTTAACGTGCCTTCCGAAGCACGGAGGAGCTCGAGATAGTAAATTTTTGGTCACCCATCCAATGACCGACCACTGCGAAAGTTGCTTAACTTCAACGATCGCAGCCGAACGCGCTAACCACTTGCGCCATCGAGCTCCTTAAATTAAATCAATTAATGAAAATTAATATATATATTAAATTAATGAAACAAATTTAAAATGTGTTATTCGTTTCTCAATGACTATGGTTTTATATATACTAGTTTTAAGACACAAGTAACAAAGAAGGGGCTGTTGTTACTACAGATTAATAAAACTATTAAAAGCATAATAATCGACAGTGGAAAAGCAAAATAGCTTAATCGCCATTTTGTACATAACATTATAATAAGAATGTTGCAACTTAAAAAATGCTTCGATTTATTCGACTTCGACTTTAGCTCTTAGTTTGTCATATGAGACGCTCACAAAGTGCTCACATTAGTATTTGTACATTGTTACGAAATGGGTACTTACCTAATATCGTAACACAGTAAACTATATAAAACCGACGGTGACGTTGTAACAATATTAGATGATTAGTAAATTTGGTATGGAGATGAAGACGATCTCGGAGAAGGTTCCTACTTTTTATCAAAAAAATATTTTTTTAAGGGATTTCGAGTCGTCCTCACACAGTAGATGAAAAGCAGTGTCTCTTTTTAAAGAAAAATGGAAACAAAAAAAAATTTCCTATGAAATGGGACACTGATTTTTTGTCCACTGTGCGGCGCCCGCTGGTATTAATAATGTTAGAAAATCTTTATTACTTTATTGATGGTGTCTTGATAGATTTCAGATACATTTTCTCTGGGCATGGGAATAAGATTTTCATTGTAGGAGGGATCCGCTTTTACAAAGAAAGGAGTAAAGACGACGTTACCAGATGGCATTGCGCAGAGAAGAAACGTCGTAAATGCAAAGCATTTCTCACCACCGTCGACGATGTGGTTGTAAAATGGAACACCAACCATTGTCATTGATGAAGGAAGAAAATTAAAGATAATGGCTTGTCTAGATAAGGACAAAAGAACCAATTTACAGTGCGCTAGCTACAAAACATAGAGAGGACCTCTTTCTGTGTTACAGCCAAAAAACCGGCAAAGTTCCCATAGGACTTGCACGTGCAGGGTTTCTTATAGTCTTGCAAGGTTAATAAAACATTTCACAGTGTTTTTATACATAGTACCCTTGAAACACTCTTAAACGGGTTAAAATACGTTTTTTTTATTACGTAATTACTTTTACGTCGTTAAAATTATGAATTTTACTTACTTTTGTCGACTATCTTCGAAAAACTTTTATTGAGCCTTCGGAAACTTATTGAAGGATTATTGAAATTTAATTGTCTATGTACGAATTTATTAGCTAATTTAATTAATAAACTACTTTATTTAAATAATTTTTAATTGTGTATTTATTTGACCGCAACTACCGTAAACTACCGCCAGTTCTAAATTTGGTGACCTTTCTGAGAAGAACTGGCGAAACTAATTTAGAGAGGCTTTTTGTCACTTTTGTAATATCTGTTGATCTTACAGTGTGTATTGGGGGTTGGGATTTTATCTGTTGTATAATGGGTTCCCAAGCTGGTGGAATATACCAACCATCTTCTCTATTCAAATTCGGTTATTTCTTAATCCCAATAGCCTCGCGTATCATCCTAGGAATGAATCGTTGTCTAGTTGCAAGGATCTGTTGTTTTTCAAATCTAATGTAATTGTTTGGTCCCCCAAATGCATGTTCACACACTGCAGATTTATTTTTGCGCCTATGTTTCATATCAGCAACAGTTACATGAATCCATTGACATTTGCATAAACGTATCTTATAAAATTAATTACTTATTATCATAAAATTACTCTAACATCATTAAATCATGATATTATTAAATCAAAAATGTGGTTAATTTTGCGTGACTGCTCACAATATTAATCTGGTTTTATTGTATGCTACAAATATTTTTACCAAACATATCGTTCGTTCCTCTTATTCATTTATTGCACTGTCATGGGTTGCCTGGAAAAGATTGCTGTTCAGAAAGAAATTCGACACACATATAGTTTAATAGGTTGGTACTGTAACGTCCGTTACGTTACAGCCTCCTTGTTTGGGTAAACTCTTTGTTCATGTAATGCCTACGGCTGGCAGTCATATTAAAAAGTTAATGTCATGATTTGAAATTAGGAATCCTCTGTCGTTTGATAGAAGATTCCATGAGATAGACTATTATATTATATTCGCCTGAAATCTAATATAAAAACATATAAAATCAAAGTTGTTTCAATTATTACTGCTACGCTCCCAGGGCCTACCCCTTCAGAGTAGATCGCCACAGTACCTAATAACAGTACAGTATAGTATGATGAAATTGAACAGAGCGGCTCGTTCTTTTGTTTTAGTTGGTTTGTACAAAAGATAAAGCGATAAGTTGAATTAGTACTTGTTGTATTTTGTCAACTAATACGAGTATTATACCTGCTAAACTTGCCTACTAACTTACAAAATAAATTTTTACTGTTGAAACTAGCCTTAATCTAGTACTACAAAATAGTATCTAATTTGTATATTTCTTTTATAGAAGCAGTGTTCACAGTGTCTCGTTACGGCAATCCAGTAATCCTAATTGGAGATTATCGCTTCAACAAGAAGAGCGACTGCAAAGGTCCCAGAGCGCGATGGACCTGCCCCAGAACCCACAGCGGTTGTCAAGCGAAACTTGTCACTATTAATGATAGCATAGTCTTTTTATCAAATGCGCATAATCATTAATTCCCCATTATTTACATCTGACGGTGTATTAACAATCTCATACAATTGCCGAGGCATAAATATTTTGCTCTTGACTATCAATTTTATGATTTTTTATTTTATGACCCTTAGCACGAACCAATATCGAATTTGTAACGTTTGCGAGGCCGAAATATCATTGTCAAATGTGTTCTGAATTTTCGTTCTAGTTACGTACTCTGTGGCGCTGCTGTTCAAGTTTCCATACAAAATTTGACATTGACATTTCGCACTCGCAAACTTTTCGAATTCGAATATCGAATAATACGAATTCGATAATGATTCGTGCTAGGGGTACAGTACCCTTAGCACGGACCTTATCGAATTCGAATAGTTTGCGAGTCTGAAATGTCATTGTCAAATGTGAACTGATTTTTAGTTCTAGTCATGTCCGTTGTGGCCGTTTGTTTTCATACAAAATTTGACAATGACATTCCGTACTCGCAAATTATTGGAATTCGATATTGGTTCGTGCTAAGGGTAGAGTACCCCTAGCACGAACCGTTATCGAATTCGTATCGTTTGCGCGTCTGAAATGTCATTGTCAAATGTGTACTGATTTTTAGTTCTCGTTACGTACTTTGTGCCGCTGATGTTCAAGTCTCCATACAAAATTTGACATTGACACTTCGGTTCGCAAACTATTCGAATTCTATAATGGTTCGTGTTAGGGGTACTGCTGTTCTTTATTTTACTTTTTGACGATTGGAGGTTTTATGGCAGAAAATAAATTGTACAAAAGGATTAGATTATGTGATATTGATATAAGATGTGAAATTCTTAGGTCAACCCCCCCGTAGGCAGGTTAAAATAGGTCGATAATAATCGATGCGTTAAGTATAAGTACTAATAAGAAGATTTTATTTTACATTGGACTCTGGGATCTAATAAAATAATTAATTCATTAAAACATTTTAATAAACCCCTTTTTAATGCGTTTTATTCGTTTTTAAATATTTTGGAATGAAGCTAGTCCAAAATTAATTAAAAATCAAAAACCTCTCACGATCTCCTCATCATCAAAAGTCTGTAAAGGGTCCGAAACGTCAAGAATAACGTGTTCTGTTGTGTGTTTTACTAAATTGTTGGTGTGCATGAAAACTTGAGAAAAAATAATTAAGGAATGTCATAGACAGATTGTAGATTTTTACCCCGCAGCGTAGTGCACAGCAATGTGAAAATCGCCTCAACGTAAGTGCAATTAGGTTTAGTCTTCTTTCATATCATTGCGAAATGGACGTTCTGTCACTCAAATCGGCCACTATCATTTCAATAAGTGGTCTGGCAACCAGGTTGCACGGGCGAGGTGGATATGGGCGTGAAGATTCACTCAGGTTGTCCTGCCACCATTTTCACTTTTGATACTGTCATTATGAAACAGAAAAAGCATAATCATTGAGACAGCTGATATTATTATTATCAGTGTGTCTTTGTAACTAAAATGTCGATATGAACTCAAACTTTCCAAAATAATGTTTGAAATCCATTTTTAAAATGTGTTTTTGTTATAAGCTATAAATTGCAGTAATGTACACATAAAATTCAAAAATATTCGAACATAAATTTTATCTAAACGTGAACCAAGTACGTCATATTAAATTAAAGATTAATTATAGATGAAAGTAGTAGTAAAGTAGTCACTGCGCTTTGCACGGCGCATAGGTAGTAGGTAGGTATTCAACCGATTCAACGGCGGGAGCGGCCATTGCTCCCGGCCGCTCGTCTTCTGTTTTTACGTTTTTTTAGTAGTGCTTATTAGTTGTTTTTTACTCACTCTGTAATTCTGTCTGCGTGTTTAAAAAGAATAATTATTCAGTACCCAAAAGGAGGAATGGACTTAAAATATAACAAAAAAAAACGAAATTTTATTTTTATCATTTTTAAATAATCCGAAAAAATTCAGTGATTCTCTATATACGT